TTCTCTCTCTCTCTCTTGCTCCCTCATTTGTTTTGGAAGCTTTGCTCAATTCAGATGCACGTGTATGTGTGAATGTTTTCAATTACATGTTTGTAGACGAACGTAATTTGTTGCGTAATTATTATGTTTTTGCCAACTTTCTGGTTACGGTGTTATGCGTTTTGCGGCGTTGATTAGAGATTTGAATATATATATATGTACAGATTGCTGTTTGTATATTTATATGGCTGGAAAAACGATACGAATCGAATTATTTACCGTCGAGACTTTGTTAATCTTTTTCATTTTCTTTCTCTCACACTTTCACAAAACCTGTAGCATTTGGATAAGAAGAAAACTTTGGAACAAAAACATCTCGAATGACTTTATGATTCTGTTGGGCACCGTTTATCCCACCATCTACTTGTTGGCCAAAAGAAATCTGTGCGATTAATGGTCCCTTCCATGAATAGCACTAATCAGGTACTTAGACAAATATTTAACGCAATTATGTAACTAAATCTCAAATTTTCATCTGCATCGAAGCCGACTGAAAATTGACGACATTGAATTTAATCTATAACCGAAGGCACACCGAATATTTTCAACTCATCCACTCAACTTTTCAATTGAAGAAAATCTATTTTGTCAATTTTAATTCAATCAATTGTGGCTAAAGCAGGCAAAAGTTGTATCTAACTGATTGAAAAAGTGTAACCGATGCATGAAATTAGTATCAATGCTCATTTCATCGCATCAATTTTCATTGTGGCATTTGTGGTGAAACTGTGCGAAACGATAAATCTTCATATATGTTGTTCGCTTCAAGTGAAACATATATCATCTACAAAGTATTGGATTAAATTCAATAAAAAACACACATACATTGCGCGCCATGGACAAGTTTGGCTCAAAACTTTACCTAGAAAGTATTCGGAATCGCATTTTCAAAGCGTCTCGTTTTATTTCTTTTTCACATTTTTCAAACTGAAAGAAATAGTTTTAAGCTTAACTCAATGTTTCTCTTTGGTGTGCATGCATAGTTATTCACGTTTGCCGAACAAAGTTTATTCTATTTCGCTGGTAGTATTTAGAAAACGTTCTCTTGGCGCTTTGGTATTTCGAATGTTGTGTTATCTATATGTCTGTTTTGTTGAGGGATTTCGGTATGTGACTTTGGCACACTTTTTTTTCTTCAACAACCAAAAAACACACACACAAAGGGACGAACAACAGTAGCGTCACAACTTTATTTCGATTTTTCAATAGAAAGACAACGTGTTGTATTGTTTTCTGTAGTTCGTTGTCCACATAGACAGAGAAAGAGAGAGAAAGAAAGAGAGATAAAGCCAAATTCAATGCTCTTAAGATAAATTGATATTCTATTTCGTTTCGTACTTCTTCTACTCGATAGTTGTTTGTCGAAGCGGATTTCAGTCGATTTAGACTGGATTTGACAAAGAATTTTCTACTCTCGTTATCCATTTATTTTTTTGCTTTGTTCCAAACCAAAATGAATGCATTTAGAGAATACAAGAAAGTCAAAACCAATTTAATTTTTGATCAAAGAGATTGAATTGTTGAGGCGATGAAAGATACTTTAAAGTCCTGAACAAAAATATTTCGAATCATTTGATTGTGCTGAAGGTTCATGAATCATTGAACAGAATGGCTTTTGCATATTCGAAATCGAATGATATGAGGAACAAAAGGGGGAACATATTATAATAATCAAAATGTAACGATAATAATAATTTTAACCAATTTCACAATGGCCAAAGCATTAATTCGAGAAAATGACACACTATTAAAGGAAGCAACCATCATTATGATAATATCAATATATTGTAATCATAGACATTATCGTATACTTAAGTATCTTGGTTAGTACCCGTCTGGTTCCGAATCGTTCCGGAACATGAAAACAATGTAAAACACAGCTGCATTTATTGCACATTTCCTTTTCGTTAAATAACACAGAATTCCGTCATAAATCGATGAATGACTATCATATCATCCCGTTAAACCCGTTTTATTTTTGGATTTTAAATATCTTCACGCTGCACACATATCCATTATTCAATGATGTTATAGTTTCGTCTGACTGCTACTATTGAAGGTGCATGCATTCTATTTTGATATCATTTGGTGAGAATGTCATTTTCGAAATCAGCTTTCATACACATTTCCCATTCAAGTTCCGTCTCTCTCTCTCGCTGCATCACCTTTTACCGTATAAAGGGTAATTGTGTGCTCATTTTCAAATAACAGTGTAACATATTCATTTGTTAACGATGAAGGTGTTTGGCAGAGACAGCGTCTATCACACATTAAATATTGATTGAATTTCCATACACCACTACTTCAAACAAAACCATTCAAAATGAATGACATAATCTATAGCACGCCTAATGTCGGAACATATTCGAGTGTAGGAAACACCCGACCCCACCAATTGAGGATATAATGATGACGACGACAACTCGATCCACAGAAACGCAATTCAATGAAGTCATACATGCTAAACAATTTTCATGAATGACACGAAAACTAAGTAATTTGAAAAAAAAAACATTCATAATAGAACAAAAAAAATATTGCTACATGTGTCCCATCGTAGACAGAGAGAAAAATGATATAGTCTTTCATTTTGTGGGTTTATTGTTTGAGCCACTAATGGCTTTTACTGACGTGAAATGCAAAATCGCTTTGTTAAACATATGTATATTTAAATTTCAGCAAACAATGTATTCAGAATTATGTGAATGATTTTATTTTTGGATGGAATGGCATAGATGTGTGGCATTTATTCCCTATCGTCACCGTAAGAGCGCGACAGAGCACATATTCGTTCCGCGTCATGCGAAATAATAACAAACAAAACAACGAAAATAAAAACACCATTGAACAACGATGGCGATATTGGTATAATCGATTATGATAAAGCCGGAATATGTGTAATACAACCGCATTAGCATATAAATATATATCTCCGTTGTTGTTGTTACACCGTTACCGTTGTTGCATTTGTGCCTTCTTCGAATAAGCATAGATTTTGATTCGGTTGGTTATGGCATTTGCTTCGGCACGCAAATCATCAAATATAAATAGTTTTCACAAAAGCTGCAACAATCACAGGTAATCATAATTTGAGGTTCATGTGTCATGCAGAGTATTCATATTATTTGAACTGGGTTAGTTAGGTCGAAATGAGATTGTGCACAAATACACATACTCGACAAAAGACGAAACAAAAAATAGATATACATCATTTTCGTTTCGTGTGGGTCGACTGTCAATTTTATGTAGCGTTGCAATTCAATTTTCGATTTTTGGGAACGCCGCGAGTATAAATCATAATTTCATGTTTTGTAAAATCAAAACATTTCAAACACAAACACAATTAAACCGCCACGATTTTTGTTCAAGTTCACATTGTTTGAAACTGCGGGAAATTCATTAAAAATTGGCCCCAAATGAATTATGCTTTCAATTTACAAAATATAATTTAACGATGAGGTATCATGAATGATCGTCCCTTCAAAACATTGAGAAGTGAACAAAAGTGCGCGAATTTCGCCTCAAATCATTTATGCAAAATGAAAATGTTTCGAATTCGACATGAAGCTATCGAAACAAAGTTTTTTGTTTATTTATTTTTCATATTTGCTACTCACTAATCTGTCTCTGTCTCTATGGCACCCCCCCCCCCCATCGACTTCTCTTTCACTCTAAAACTAATGGGTAATAATAACTTTGCAAAATGACACAAAAAGAGTTAGAATGCCTCAAGGATTTATTCAAAGTTTATTTCACGTCGAAATTATCGATTGAAATGTGTTTTTCTTTTACATACAATTTGAATAATAAATGAACCGAATTCAATCAAAATACGGTGTTCTTTGTCAATTTTCTCCAAAATGTTGAATCAATTTAATTATTTACGAATTATTTTGAAGTATATGTTGATACTGTGATTGACGCCTGATTATCTGAAAAATCCGAATTTGGATTTGTATTTATACAAAAATCAATCATTTTTGAAGAAAGTTTCTCGAAATTAGTTTTGCATAAACATGACTTTTTGTTGTGCATGTTTAAGTTTTTTTTAAAAGACATACAACCATTTTGAATGATGAATCACGGGGCATATGAATCAACAAACTGATGTGAATTTAATAATGAGCATATACATGGATATGATGTGTGCACACGTGTGTAAATTTATGCACCGGAAGAGTATATTGAAGGCTTAAAAGCAAACAAATAGCCCCATGACAAAATGATATTGCATCGTAATCGATTTCAATGTTTGTATTCGATGTGTTTGGATATATGAGTTTTCATTGTTAGGCAATTCTTCGGCGACATTCTCCTTTGTATGGGACCAAAATCACACTTAATATATCTATATTGTGTGATATGCATGAAAGCACATACATCTAGTTATAAAGATTAAATTCCAATAACAAATCATCATTTCACACTTGAATGTTAATTAAATTTGATGGCGAAAATTTTCGGTGCCATTGGTGTTTTTGGCCATAGAATATATGTGATTCATGGTTTTTGGCAAATGCAGGTAATAAATCTTATTGTGTATGTGTGATTTTGTTGAATCGGTTGTTTTGACAAAAATTACACGGCAACGCAATGCCATACATGACATATACGAAAAAAGCATTTATGTTCATTGCGAAAATTGTATTGAAAAAGCCGTATGATAAAGAGGTGCGCATCTTTATTTAGAGCAAATGAGCTTTGAGAGCTCGAAGTCATGTTAGACGATTAAGGTGTATTAGCTTTGACAATCACAAATATAAATAATATGTATGTGTAGGCATGACACAGGCGTACACATGCCAAAACTTTAAGATGTTCTGGGGGCGGCGCCCTTCAGCATTCGCAAAAAGCCAATTTGTCATTGTGCATGTTGTTAGTGCGCGCATTTGGCCGTAAGCTAGTTTCAATTGCTGACAAATGAGTAGATTTGAATTTTATGCCATACCAAATAAACGTACATTTTCACCTGGCGTCCTAAGCTCCTTGCTCAATTCTATCAAGCAGCTTTCTGTCATTCACTTAGATATGCTTGGTTTTCGATTGCCGGTTGCTGTTGCTGTTGCCGTTGCTCACACTGTCGCAGTGGTTTTGTCTCAATTTATGTTGTCGACGGTGATATGACTGTCTAATCTGAAATGAAACAAACATACATACACCAAAAGGCATTAGAGAGTAATGAAAGCCTGCGATTCGAAATAATAAGCGATAAACATTGGCGCAATAAGACATTCACAATGTATATATGAATGGAATGAACGACATTAGATCCAAACGTAAACACAATTTGGATAATTAGCGAGTACCAAGAGTTTTAGAAGTAACCAAGAAACTGGTAAAGTTTCCAAGGAGTTATAAGGCACGACACACACACACACTCACTTGTCGCTGCTGTTATGTTATTATTGTTTGTGCTTAAGGTGAGGAAGTGTTGTGTGTGTGCGCTTGTGCGTGTGCATGCATCCAAACATTTATTATGTGTGTTCGGTTTTGGAAATGATAGCATTATGATTTATACGTCTGGATTTGTAGCGTTGATTTTCGAATGCCATCATATCGCATCATATCATGCATATAATGAAATAAATATATGTATACATACATAGATTGTTATGGTTTCGGGAAAATGCGATGTGCACATAGGAACAATCACATCAACATTTGACATCGAACAACTAATTTCTAAACATATAACGATATTATTTGATGAGAAATCCAAGCGAAGTAAGATGCGAAAAATGAATTATAGCGACGATTAATTACATTTTGAATTGTTTGAGATGCGGTTGTTAGACTTTTAATCATTTTAGATCTTGTTCAATATTTTTCTTTCAAAATTGTTCTTGTTTTCCCGGGAAAATCAAACCTTCGAACAAATCATGGTTTGATTTTCGAACATAGCTGTAGAGTCTCTCAAAAATAAATTGATAAGCTAACAAAAGGTCTTCACTTTTTGTCTGAAAACCCTAGAAAATTTGAAAAATTGACGCTCAAAAGAATTGATTATCAAAGAAAGGTCCTCACTTCACGATTTGTGAAGGGATAGTTTCAAATCCGTTCTCCCGGTGAGAGGAGTCATCCTAACCAAAGTACTTTTATTATTCAAACCTTACTTAACGTCACTAGACTGATGTTAATTAAAAATGGTTTTTAACTAATTTGAGGCTTGGGAAAGAAAATCATATTTCACTTTATAAATGAACAATAAATTGTGTCAAACGTAATCTGCATTTATTTCGAAACGAAAAAAAAGGCATCAGCATCGCTCGATGGTGATCACAACACAATCATGGTTTAGATAAGTTCATTAGGTTTGTAATTAAATTCAGTGTCGGAAACATTAGTTCAGTCGTTTTGTGTATCGCCATTCATTCAATTGGATTGGATTGAATCTACACATAGAATCTAATTTAATTTAATTAATTGACAAATATGCATTATTGACCACTTCATTTTCATTTTGTGTGTATGCATGTCTATTTGTCGATGTGTGTGTGTGTAAATGCAGCTTTTGTTGTTTGGAATGACTTTGGTTGATTGTTTAGCGGATGGAGAGAGCGAGTGTGACGGGTGGCTTCGATTATATCACTTTCATAATAGCACACAAAATAAAATTAAATTGCTGTTGCTGCTGCTGCTGTTGGCCGTCGCCACTATCGCGCCCGCACAAACAATACCCAACAATGTGTTTCTGATTCGTAAATATTTTAATTATAATCTGCATTGCTTTGAATATTTGTTCAACTATTCCAAAATGATAACAATTGCAATTTGTAATTATTGTGAAAAAGGCGATATTGTTTGGATGCGCCGAATAATTTTGGATATTCGCATAAAAGCATCGCGTCGCACATTCGCTTTTATATTTCTTCATTATTTAATTTAACTGGATTACGAGATTCGTTATTTTTGGTAATTTGTGTGCAGTAAATTAAGCGCAAACTGGGATTTTTTTCCAAAATGAATTCATTTGAAAATTACGCTGAACATTCTACTCCATGCAACGCAGATATAAAATCGGAATTTATTACATGACCATCGGACTGATGATACCGCACCTCGTTTTTTACGCCCGGCGTTAGTTTTTTATTTTAAAAAAAATCAATACTGTTGCATTTCTCCAGAATTTCGGAAAATTTCAATCGTTTTATCAAGTTCAAATAAAATACCGAAAATAAGTACAGATTCCAATGAATAACGTTAATGTTTAATTGAATTCACTGTGCTGTGTGGTTGAATATGTAATGATGCATGAATAAATAATTTCACTTCATTAAATATCTCGCTTGAGTAACGACACACGTATACACCGGCACACATGTGGTAGCTTTGAGCCTATCTCTCTCATGACGCATTTGCATTATCATCGCAACACACAATTTGATTGTATGAAAACCATTGAATACAGTGAATTCAACGGCATTTCAAATCCCAACTGAATGCCAACCGGATTTTCTCAATCGACTAAAAGTCTCATTTTCAGTTTAAACATTGTAATGGTGCACATGTACAACGTACGATTTAAAGAAGTGGGCCAAAATCAGGTGTTGCATGGAAAAACGACGATTTTGACGATGTTTCTAACTTCAAATAATCTTATGCGAATTAGCACACGGTCTACAAATCGAAAAGCCGACCGATGTAATTCGAAATAAACCAAACATTCTTACCTTAAACGATAAATTAGTGCGCCATTAATGAAATCTATTTGAGTTCTCAACACAAAGACTATACATAAAGCATTTCGACACTTTTCACGTAAAACCCAACGCAAAAAGATATATATATTTATTGAATTCCGGTAATATCGGTTTCGGCTGGGCGGGTCCTACCACCCGAAAATAAGACATTCGCCGTGATTTATTTTCATGCCTTTGCGCCTTGTGTGTGTTTTGTTTCAACTGACACCCCATTGTTTGATAGCGTGATAGGTCATTATATGTTCCGACTACCGATATTCTTGCAACGATATGTTTTGCACTGATTTCTCTGCGGCCATAACCGAATAAAAGCAGCACAGCAATAAGCTTATTGATCACACATTTCAAGTCGAATGGCCATCGATGAAAATACATTACATTAAAAACATTGCTCTCTTGTGTAAAATCATTTCGTATCAATGCAAACACCATTATGCTCACGAAAACGATTCCACCATTGGACGTGCCACTATCTTTCAATACTTTAATATATTAATGGCAATCGATGCAAAAATTCTCTCTACCAGATAGATGTATTAAATTATACGATGATTATCGTCAAAAACTATTTGAATTGGCAGCCACTTTCGATCGAACACGATGGTATTAAGAAAATATATAATTTTGTGCTTAATATGCTCTTTTAGTATAATGGCAAAATTGACCTAGCCAATCAAGCCACTTTACACGCCACCATCTTTTCTATTAGTGTATAAGAGTGTGTAAGTGTGTATGAATGTGAAAATGGGAATTTGATTTAAAAAAATATCATTTTTCCAGAATGAGAGTTTACGTTGTGTTCAACCTTAAGCTGCTGCTACAGATGAAATGGGAAATATGTGTGTGTGTGCAAGTATATTTTTATGTAATCCTTAATGAGTCTTCGGGGACAAATTTTATAGGCTATGTTTGGGATCTATTTTGCATAATTATTCAATATGATTATAGACACTTCCACGTTGCCACCATCGGCCACTCATGCGTATACAATACATATGCATGGCATTGGATTTAGCCCAGATACTGATGTCAACGAAGGTAATATTTTTGCCGGTTGAAAGCATGTTGTCGCTTTTCAAGAAATCCACCATTTTTCCTCTTTGTCACACAACCCTTTCTATATATTTTACCTCTCCGGATCTGTTTTCCCCTTCTCTTACCATCATTTCCTCGTTCGCCAGTGATTTGAAGCTTTAAATTCTCGCTAAAATCATGTAGCTTCCGAAAAATTCACACAATCCAACCGCATATAACCTCTGTACCCACTTATTCTATCTCTCTCTTAAATCGAGACTACATTTTAATAGTTCACTCGGGGATTAATATTTTTACTATGTATAATTTTCAATGGGTTTTTAAATCGGAACCACTTAATTTAATAGTTTGGCTGTCTGAAGCAAACTGAAAAAAGGGTTCGGCACAACGTTTGGTGTGGCGTGCGCCATTTTGTATCGCAGAAGAAAAAACTGCTTTGATGCCCTCATTAACTTAATTTAACACATTTCACGTTCGAATTCGACATTAAGTACGTATTTATTCGAACCGAATGTAAATTATTCACAAATCCACAAAATGTTTGATTCAAAAAATTGTGACTTTTGGTCGACGTGTAATTAAATGGTGTGCGATGTGAAAATTCATTTATTTTCACATCTCGTTTTCCTTTCTCCAAAAACAACCAAATAAACATCACACCAATTAAAATTTGAGAACCGAAAAATATTCTTGTCAATGCACAATTTGATCATATTTTATCGTTTTTGTTATATCGATACACGGAATACTAATTTCGATGTATACCGGGTGTTGGGTACCATGTGCATCCGATTGAAGCGTTCGATGTTGATAAATGTCATTGCTGTTTAAATATATCAAGAAGCGAAGTTGATTGGCCATATAATGATTTTATGAATTGTATTTTATGTAAATAAACTGTGCGCATCCATTCTGATGTGTAAACATTTCCATCAAAATGGGGAACATTTACGCTCCAAACTAATGGCCATCAATTAACTAATTAACCAAATTCACATAAATATCAGAATCTCTTCTCGCCAAACTAGAAACGGAGAGAGACAGAGAAAAAGCTTGTCGTTTTTCTCTACTTATTTTAATTGTTGTAATCAAATCGAAAGAAATTCTTTGCGCTAGTTTTCGCTTCTCGTTTTCACTGCATTGAACCAATTTCGATAACGCTACTGCCGGCTCATGCACTTGAACCATGAATGGTGAAAATGAGAGACAAAAAACCATGCCGGAAAAAACGATGTGCGAAAAATTAAAGTGAAGAGAGAGGCAAAGAGACGTTCTCATTATGATTAATAATTTAAGGCGAATCAAAGCTCATTGCGCTCGAGACCAAGAACGAAGTTTGTTGGAAAACAATATGAAGTAGAAAAAAAAAGAACCGAATGGAAAGTTAAAGTTTTCGTA